TGGATCATAGGCTAGAAGAGGCCAAAGTGAATCTAAGGTCTCCAAATGCAATGGAGCCTAGAGGTGGTATTGCCAATAGGGTGGCACTGTCACCTAGATGATCTTATTACTTTCATGTGTTGAGCCTTATATTATAGACCATAAATAACATCAAGTACATGTTAAGTCTTAACTAAAGATTGCGGATCTTAAAGTTTATTCTCAGCATTATTGTCTTTAGCTTAATAGTATTTGCAAAATAAAACAGTGTGATTTAGAATACTTTTATCTCGTACAAGTGAGAAGTTCAAACTTCACAGCCTTATAAGAAATGAAACTTGTGGGTTACTTATCCTTATGAGATAGAAACCTTAACATGATTTTTTCTTCTTTCTTTATCACCTTTTTTTTGTTTAAATCTATCAAAGACATGAATCTCAAAGAAAGAAAATCTCAATATATTCTTTTGTCACTTGAAAAGACTAAAATATCACTCAAAGATAGTATTATATTGAATTAGAATGGCTATTATGAAAGACAAGAAGACTAGACAGTCTTGAAAGAAGACTAAAGAATAAAAAGGCATTGGCAAGAATAAAGAAGGCTTCACTCTTCCTTCTATATATACTCATAATTAGAGACAACGTGGTAATATCCTATAAGACCTTCAAAACATGTTGACTTTGCAAGATACATATTTTAACTTGCAAGACAAGTTTTTTATATTTGCACCACATAGTTAGCTTATTCTACAAGCTACTAATATATGATTAACTTGTTGATCAAGTTTTTAGCCTACCAATCAACTACAAACACATGTAAAATCAAAGTAGCATCTATGAAGCTTCTAGAAAGCTTTTCTAAAAATGATTATGAAATAAATCTATTTTTATTCACTTCTATTTAACCATATAAGTAAATATTAGAATAAATATGTATGTTTGTGATAGAATCTAGTATTTTTTTATTAAAGCAATTGCAATATTTAATGTTCATAAATTTTAGTATATTTTTATTTAAAAAGAATTAGTTACTTTAAATAGATATCTTACTTCAACTTAATCATGTTTCTATTGCGATAGCTAATATTGTGTGAATTGCCTTATGTCGCTTATATAAAATAGAAGACTTATTTTATAACTCTCATCAATGTTATTTTTTCATTGATTGCATTTTTTTACTTTTTTATATTTGGTTTAAGAATTGAATACTATATACATTTATACATATATGTGTTTGTTTTTTTAGAGAAAGAGAGAGAAAGAAGCTTAGTTTTGGGCATGTCTATGAATTAATCTATGAGTTGTCTATTAGAGGATGCAAAGTAGAATCTTGTTTTGAGATTTTAAGGCTATGAATCTGAGGTTTTGGATCTTAGGTAGAAAATGCATGGATGGTTGTGAAGTCTTTTCATTGCTTAGGATACAAAGATGTGAGATTTAGGGTGGTATATGATGGAGAGAAATGGAACCTTTTTCGCATATGTGGAGGTTAGTTCTATTGTTGATATGTATGTCTATATATTGTTCATTCGAAGGTGCTATGTATTGGATGACATCAAGGATCAGTTCGTGCTTTTTAGTAGGCCATTTCTTTATACTCATTACAATTGCAATTCAAATCAAATATTATTTTTATGTAGCCAAATTTATTTAAATTATTATTTTTTTAAACCAAATTTGAATATTACCTAAATAAAATTTGGATGTATATATTACTTTAAAATATTAATAAATATTAATTCAAAAATGGCAAAAGATAGATCATTTTTATTTTATTAGTATAAAATAAATTGATAATTAATATCACTTGAAGTAATAACCATCTATAATTTTTTAAATAACTATATGTAATACTTTTTCAAAACAATTTTGTTAGCATATTATTGAATTCTACTCTATTTGTATATTATTTGTAGACAATTGTAAAGAAAAAGTTATCTTTGTAAGACATGTGCAAATATTATATGCCATTAATTTGTAATTATTACAGAAGCATTTTCTTGTTCTTGCTTCTATAGATTCAAACTATGATGCATATCATTGTATTGATGTTTCTGCATATATGTCACTTCTAATTCTATTCTTGCTCCTTGTGGTCTTTCCTTTAGATAACTCACTTGTGGATTTTTCAATTGTATAGTTATTGATGAAAGCTCAACTAATCTTTCACGTAGATTTTTTTATTAGTGACGAGGTAAAATATTTAAAGTTTAATTAATAATAGCATAAAATAAACATAAATTTTCAAAAGAGAATGGAACTATAGAACATATAATAATTACAATGGTCTAATATATAAAGAATGAAGACCATCTTAATTCTACTTCATTTGAAAAGTATATTTTGTAATTTATTAACATGTTTTTTTGTGTATGCCAAATGCAAAGTATTACATTTGAAGTGAGAAATATTAGTTCAATGATATTTACTAATGCTAAATTCCTATCAAAACCTATGCAAATGGATCAAATTTCTCCATATACTTCTTAAAGTTGGATTAATGCCCAACAAAAGAAGGTTTATATTTCTTCTTAGAGAAAAGCAACACCAATGATAAATGAAGTATTGAAACTTGTCATCCCTACAATATATAACATTGGCACTCTAAATCTATTCATTTTGTATCTGCAATCCATGACAATGGAGAAAAAGTATCTTTTTATAAGTTGAACACAATTGGAATGTCTAAAAAATAGAAAAGTAACTTTATTTTCTTGATTACAATGATAAATAAAATGGCAATTAGCTCTTTGTAAAGTTTCTATAAGATATATAATAGATGATTGTTCAGCTAGTGCAATGTAACATAATTTTTGTCACTCATTATAAATAATTTGAGCAATCACTTTGCTATTAATATCACTCTTATATAAGGCAACAATAATATTTTTTGGTGGGATGCCTATAATTAATAATTATGAAGTTAGTTCTTTTTTGGTAAGTTGCAAATAACAAGCAAATACATGGCCTAAAAGAAAAGAAGTAGTTCTATGGTTATAAAGAGCATTTTGAACAATCAAATGACATTGAGTACTATTATGTAAATGATGGGTATGCAACGCAAATAGACATCATGTTAGACAACTTACACTATTTTATTTGTGAGTATGATAATTTTGATCTCAATAAATGTCTCCTCTATCACACTTGTAATCAATGTGAACTTTGTCAAAGTGCCATTTGCATACAATATAGCATTCATTCTGTGTAAATTCATCAATACTACATTTCATTTCTTCTATACTTTCAAAATATCCCTCTAGTGGTATACATATATATCCCTCACTTTCCATTGCAAAATGCAAAAAAAATATAGAATATATAATTTTCTCTCCTCTATCCACTATATACAATTTTAAAAAGAGTATATACTACAATAAAATAAAGAAGTAAATTTAGTACATACATAATTATAGGGCAAGTTGGAGAAGAACAATAGAAAGATGTTATTACTAGCTGAAATTTTTGAGAACCATTGGAAATTATATCTAGAATAATGATTCTATTTATCCAACCATAGATTATGGTTTTAATAATAAAGAAGATTTGTATTATCCATGTACAAAAATTTTATGATAGGTGAGTCGCTTTATCATTTCCATATATATATATAATAGATAGTTTTTATATATTTATTATATATATTATTTTTTAAATTCTATTTTTTAAAATCAATCCTTTCCAACCCACTTTTATGTATACTAACCTCATTGTTTTACAATATAGCCATTGAATTTTTATTTTCCTTCTTTTCCTGGGAACAAACAATAGGCAGTCAAACAAAATGGTGAAATTATTATTTAAGTCTGAAAACAAATCAATCAAATGGAATTTGATAAGCCAAACATGAAAATCATGTATGAAAGAGATAAAGTTCTAATTTGTTTAGTGAGGAAAGTGGACACTTTCTCCAACGAATGAACTTCATGAAAAAAAAGCACACTGATAAAAAGAATGTTCCATTGGAACATCGTTAATGTCATGGTGAGGGTTCAATTCTAAGAAATGTTATTCTGTCGATATGAAAGATATGCCACGCAGAACTCTCTTTTACCACATTCTCCATCACCATAAAAATTGTTAGCTAGTGAGAAAAAGAGACTGGATCATCAAACACAAAAATGGTAAATACTTATCAGATGGCTCATCGTGGGAAGATGCCTAGCTGATACTGAAAGTTAACATGCATTAGACGACGTCGTGGGAAATCCCCAGCACAATTACGAAAAGATCCAAGTGGGATCATCAGTCTAGACAAACATCATTTTATACTTTCTAGTAAAAAAAAATTAATTTAGAAATTTAAAAAAAAAAAAAAAAAAAAAAAAAAACACACGCACACACATACACACAAGCATTTCAGAAAGTGGCTTTGCAAATTTTCTTTTAGGGAAAAAGCCCATGCAACTGAGAGCTCGGCAGCAGAATGAAGGGCCAAGAGGGTAAGTAGTGTAAAATTAGCTCATCGAAGCCAATCTGGATTACCTCACAGTTGCGGTTAAAGCTAATTCTTTTCACGCCAATTAGTTATCTAGTTTTACGCATGCTTCAGAAATTCCATCATGCCTTGCATCAGTGATAGACCTTCAACCCCATTTGCGCGTCAGGATGTTGGCCCATGCCGACGAATTTGCTACAAGAAGGAGGATATGGGGGTGACCAGCCTTTGAGGGGAAAAGAAGGCTCAGTTCAAAGCTGCAAGAATGATGGGTGGTAATGCGGGGTTTGTGAGGAGGAGGTGAGCTTGTGCCGACTTACTTGCAAGGAACAGATTGTTTCTCGTGCGCTTGAGGGTGCAAAAGCCAGCGTGGGTCTCAGTATGGGTCAGATGCCAAGTTCATATTTGTCAGACTGTGAGCAAGCTGCCTATGGTAGATCTCCGAGTAGAATCGTCGTAAAGGTGTACTGGTGCTGCAGTAACACGGTATGCCCCTAGGGGATTGCAACAAACTTTACAGGAGTCAGGTTCCTATTCAAGGAACGTCAGGCTTGTTTTGTCAATTGTGCATGAGGCATAGGTTCAATCTCGAAGCCAAACGATTCCAGAGTTTATTCGGTAAGAGAACAATTCCGATTCTCATGTGTGCACCGCATATAATACAAAATACAACAGGTTGATTGCAACACAACCTTAATTCATTAAGGAAAAAACTCTATGCGAGTGTAAGATTGCTAATCTACAGCATGGCTACAAAGCCAAACAAACCCTAAAAAACGCCGTCGTCGTTTCACATCGAAGAAAGAGGATTTCGGTGACAGTCTACTCTGAGCATGTACAATGATCGGTGTCAAAATCCCACTCTAAAATCAACTCCAGCTCCACCGTATTCGAGGTTGCTATCAGAGTTGAAGAATATGTTTGAGTGTTAGATTGTCACCATTCGATCCTGGCAATCCCTGCCTTGGGCAAAACATAGTTCCTCGATGCATAAGCAACATCACCGCCGACTTGGCGACTGAAAAAAAAAAGTAAAAAAAGTAAAAAAAAAACCCCGTGGTTCACTGATTGGCAAGCACAAACTGAACAAACTTCCCAGAAACACACGCACTCATGCCGGTGATTCAAGCTCGGCAGTCGCTTGGGACCCTGAATTCTGCTTCCTGTTTAGAGAAGTTTCGGTGAGGGCTGAAATATTCATCATCCTCTTCCTCGTCTTCAATATCCTCTGGTAGCAAAAATTTGACCAAATTTCCACTCTCGTCGTACTCAATCATCCCGGAGAACGAGAGAGGCTTACAACGTCTACCTTTGGAAATCATTCGCTGCCAAATCGCCCCATCTGAGTAGCATTGGACCGGTGACGCAACTGGTGTCTCAAGCTCTTGATGTGTGGGGCTTCCACAGTCCTCACTCGTACTGCTGCTAATGCTGCTGCTGGCGCTGCTTGTGACGCTCCTCGGAGAAAGCTCCCCGTCGCCATCTTCATGGAGTATCCGTGGACCTTTGATGACGCACATTCCCATTGTGGGATGATTGGGTTCAATATTCACACAGCACTAATTCAACAAACTCAACACCTGCCTCCGCACAAGGAGCCCCTTCCACAGTACAGGTCGATAAAATTCAAGGCTCCGAGGAACCAAGAAACGAAGCTAGACTCTTACTTGAAAAAAAAAAAAAAAAAAAAAAAAAAAAACTTGCACAACTCAGGATGAAAAACACCGGCTTCTCACGGAAACCTGGAAGTAGACCGTCTCATATCCACAAGACGTGATGGGGCATGCACACTGCACGAGAATAACCTGAGACTATCAACGGCAGTGCACCGACCGAAAAGGCAAAGGATTATTCATCTCCCGCAGCTCAAATAGAAAATTGCTAATCAGAATCGGGGAGATCTCAGCTCATTCAGCAACGTCACCACGTTTGCCATTTACAAACACCGAATAAGCATTGGAACGTGACGAAGATCCCCGATCCCAATGCGAGCCCAAAGCTGAGACACCGACTCGCACATAAAAGAAAAGGCAAAAGCGTGGCGAGGAAATCTCCCCATGTGGGATCCGTCCGGGACTCAACGAGATGATGTGGACGACGACGACAGACAGCCGGCTGCCCCCACTTCGCAACAAGCCAGTAATGAACGCAATGTGGCGATTGATTATGGTGCATCTGCTGCAGTTGCCACTTTCCACTGCTGATTCATCACGCGATTCTTTCCAGTTCGAGAAGGGGGGCTACCGATGCCGCCAGGACTCAGAGGTCTCCAGAACTGGGAGTCAGGATCTTCTCCTCCCACCCTTGATGCAATCGGTAAAGCTAGCGACGACGGTCCCAGCGATGGATCGAGGGGCAGGCAGCTGAGTAACGATGAGGTTGCGGTTTCAACGACGACGGCGATGGACTATGGTCACGGCGTCCGCGCTGCCGTGACCAGCCGGGAGGTGAAGAGCGTGAGTTTCTATTGTTAGGAAGGACGTTAACTAGCTTGTGGGCTAATGGGCTTGTGGGCTAGTTGTTGTTGTTGTTTTTTGTGGGGTGAGGCGTTGAATAGCTGGACGGTAGCAGTAGAAGGTGCGGTCAGACGGTGTTGCTGCAACGTCGCGGAATGTTTTAGGGTTTTGCAGTGAGTGTTGTTGATGGAGCTTGGAATTGCTGTGCCTGCGGCGGCACTAACATGGACGTTTCCTTGAGTGGTAGTTATTAGCCTCGTCGTCAAAGAAATAATTAAGGAATACAATAAAAATCGACGAGTGACGCGTGAGAGATCTCGGGAGATTGGATGCGAGTTTATATTTATATATCTGTTTGTGTGTGTGTGACTTTTTTTTTAATTTAGGTTGAGGTTTGTTGAGAAAAAAACGAGTTGAGCCATCCGATATTGAAATAACACCTGAATCTGTGATACAATGTATGAATCATATAATTGATCGATGTATTGGTTTCTTAACATGTAATAATTCAATGTGAAACATGAAAATTCAAGGCTATTCATGTAGTTGCTCAATGTCAAACTTTGTATTGGATGTTGTAAGCTTACACGTCCATATTTCTCTAAATAAATAAATACCAGTGTAATAGGTTGATAAGTGAATTGGGTTAAACATAAGGGCGTGTAACCCTTGGCTGATTAAAGAAATTTGTTGCAAATTAGGGTATTGGTTCAATTTAAAATGTTGGCAGTGTTTGTGAAAGAGTATACATAATGCCATGGTTAAATCTTAAAACTGAGATCATACAAAAGCCTATGCTTTGAGTAAAAAAATGTATGCAGTTAAGGATACACTGTGTCTACAAAGTGCCTTCATTGAATAGGAGATGAAAGTGGCAATCTCAATTGAGATTAATATAAAAAGTACATATATTTTTTACACTTGAAAATCAATTCTCACATTTTTATTTTCATTTTTTCTTTGTGCTTTTGGAACATTGATTGAACACAATCAAGAAAAATGTGGTTATTTTTATAATTCATACTTACTCAAGGGCTTACAATAGCATTGTCATTGACATTCATTTTACTAATATTGTAACACCTCATGAGTTGTCCCTAGTATTAGAATAATCAAAACAACTCTATTTAACTTTGGCTTTAGAAAAAGTGTAGGCTAATGATGAATTTCATGCCACAAGTAAAGACAAGGTGTAAAGTGTAAACTAATTCAACAAAGTAAATAAAAACAAATATGGAATCCAATAGTTCTCTTTAGCTCTTTCCCCAATCAATTATCCAGCTTTCAAAGTTTGAATCACATACACATGTGTGTATATATGCAACTTGGAACATGCAAGTAACCATGTATATGTATAAATACATCCCCATTTCAAGGGTCTCAGATCCTGATGCCAATTTTGTATGCTTGATTGGGCAGACATTTTGTGGCAGGTGTTACCTTTTTTAATATTGGAGCACAAGTCCACTGGAACAGTAGAAACCTATGGGTGTTGTGGGCCATTCTTGCATCAACATGTAGAACCCACTATTAGAACCCAAATCCTAAAAGAAAGAGGCAAAAATCATGTCAGGGTCTTGTTGCACTAGCAGTGTCAGGGAATGAGAGTCAGAGGAGTTCCCATGTGCAGGTTCAGTAAAACATGGCATTTGACACAGGACATTCTCTTTGCTATTTGGCTGCTTGGCTACTGCAGTTCACCAAGAGGGATATCCACAGAGGATTTTGTGTACAAAAATCTCCCCCTTATTCACAACAACTCTATTAAAATCACAGTAGTATACATATTATTGGCCTAGAAAAGTGTGTAAATCTAATTTCCATTTGAAAAAGCAACATGATGTGAATCAAAGCATTGGATGTCATTGTTGATGTGGACGACAGGTCATGCAAATCATGTTACACAAAAAATGTGACTGCCCCCACCCATAAATTCTCCACACTTTTCCCCCAAAATACATTCCACTGGAGGTGGGCATTTCACAACAAGGCCACATCATGTGAGTAAATACTGTGGCTGAATAAGAAAATTAATAAGTATTAATAAATCGTAATATAATGTTAGATGGAGATTCTCAGAATCCTCATAGATTTGTGTTGACAGTCATCAATCAAGCTTCCCTTTGGTTAGCTGTTTTTTGTCTCAATCCTGCTCAATAAGGAAAAAGCTTATTTGGGAATTGGAGTGTGAAAAGGGTTTGGCTTCTTGCCTAGGATTCCCATTTGGGAGTTGATGCCCATACCTCTATTGATGATGGATCATCATGGATACATGCAGGGCTTGCATCATCCATCCATGTGCTGGGTGGGGGGGGGTCTGTACCCTAATCCCTTCACTGGGCCATTTTTATCCTTTCGAGGTGCTACTGATTACACACACGAATCTTAAGTATGTTGCCTAACCCTCGGTTTTCCAACTCTTGCTTTTCTCTGCCTTGGGCTGTACTCAACTGGGAAATGCTTGAGAGTTGTAATATGTATAACCTGCCCCCCCCCCTAAAAAGAAACCAATTTGGGCAGAGTGTCAAAAGTCCATTCTTACATGAAGATTGGCTAGAACATAGAGAAGATTTTGTTCTTTGTGTTTAACACTTGGGTTCACTTATTGTTATTACTATTATTTTGTTGATTTTTTAATAAAACTAGAATTGGTACAAAATGTCTTTACACATGAAAATGCATTTGTTGATGATACTATGAACTTTATGAAAGATACTTGTAATGTAAAAGCACCACAAATACTCAAAGACTACTCTAATAGTATACAACACATATTTTTGTTATATATATACAATGAGAGAGGAATGTTAAATAGACCCAAATTTTTATTAAATCGACCCACCTATTCTAACCATCACAAAAGTAAAAATGACCTCTAGATTTATTTCTCCACTATTGGACCTCAAACCAATAAAAACCTATCACATTCATCATCATCATGATTATCATATTCTCCAAAAAAAATGTGTCTATTTAGTAAAAGCATAAAAAAATGGGTCTATTTAACATTCTTCTCTATATATATAAGAATGATGAACTACGTCAACCACAATCCACAACTCTTCAGACAAGGAGTAAAATTCACAACTCATGCAATACTCATATCCAACGATTTGAGGTTAAACTTTAAACTAAAGGCTATGTCCACCCTGAATCTGGAATAGTGAGTTGAATGTCATGAAAAGCCTCCTCTAAAACCTCCTCTAAAGTTTATGTGTTTTGCATCCAAGTGTGATAATATCATATTTAACTAACGTTGAAGTCATTCTCTGCACAGTTACAGTTTTGTTTGCTAAAGAGAACCATTACCAGTGTGGTTCAGAGTCGAATCGATGCACACACAACCCACAAGTTCACAACAATCAAATTACACTTCACGAGCATTGATGTGATAAAACAAGTTTGCAAGCAGCGGGAATTCACGAGCATGACTTTTTCTTAGGTCAGTCTTGGAGGATTAAGATATGGCGTGTATGTCCAGATTGTTCATGTTGTAACAATCAACTCACATCACTTGTCTTTCGAATGGCTACAATTATATACACACCTGCATAAGAGCCATTGCAAAATGACCCATCTAGTTAGAGTTGCCGGCCATGTCTCCAACTGAAGCTCACAACAATTGGATACATGTAGCGAGCGAGCGAGCGGGAGCGAGAGAGAGAAGCTTGGGATTGCATTGGAGACAAACAGATATAAATTTTGCACGGAGCGGGGAGGATTGTCAATCTTGGTGAAACCCTTCAGGTTCAACGCAGTTGCGCAACGTGAAATTTATAATGGTTTTAAGAGGGGATTGAATCTGCAAAAATTGACCACTTCTGCTTGTTCGTTTCAAAAACTGCCCAAGACGAACTTCAAGTGAACCATACGGAGGGAAATACCCAGTGTCATACAGAAGTTTAGCAATCCATGTGGTTGAGTTCAACAATTCAATAAAGATACGATCCCGTCAGTACAAAAGACAAGGGGGGGCTATATCTATACTGACGAACAAACACGAGAGCTGCTGGGTCGCGCCACTATAGCCCCCCCCCCCCCCCCCCTGGATAGAATTGTCACCCACGCGTTGAGTGAGTTTATCTATCGCCGCCGTGGGACACCCCCTGTGACATGCTCCAACGCCCTCGTGACGACCTGACAATTCAGTTCTTGTATCCATCATAGCCAATGGTCCTTTCGAAGTCTTGTTCCAGGGACGATGATAGAGAGTTGGAGCCCTATGATAGCGGCACTTCCATTTGCCCCCTAGCGAGGTGGGAGCTTGTTGACAAGACCCCCACGAGTGGTGCGGGTGGGTCAGTGCCCCACCTCCCCCTTCCCCCTTCCCCTTCCCACTCTGCCTGCCTCCCTGCCTTCCTGCCTGATCTGCTTTTGCAGGATCAAGCTCCCGCTCGAACTACGCAGCAGCAGCAGCAACAGCAGCGCCTCCAACTTACACAGCCGTGACTGGTCAATGGCTTTCCTTGTGATTGGTGCAATACACACACACTCTCATATCTATATGTATATACACTCTCAAATGTATATATATATATATATATATATATACTCTCCTATATATATATGTACACTCTCATATCTATTTATATATATACACACACATTGCTCAGCTACTGCTGCTGACAGTGTGCTGGTACTCGCATCCTAGACAACGAGACGCTTGTTGCATGGACTTGGGTTGCAGCTTGAAGGGTGAAGCAAGCTCCCATGCATTGGTGGAGTTTAGGATAGCCCCACCCAGATGGGTTTTGAGGCTGGTCTTTCTCAATCCTTGGCTTAAACACTTCACCTGGAAGCAGTAAATGGAACAAACGTGTTTTCATTTGAAGTGTTCCGTGTTTGAAGAATATGTCATTTGGAATTTTTTGATTCAACTGAAGATGAGCACTCTGCATAGGATGATGCAACCTTTGTATGATGTGTCACCTTTAAGAAGCAAATAAACGAATGAACTTAAGTATTCTTTGCATCTTGGAATACAAATATGGGGCTTTCGAAACAAATGTATGTGTGTGTGTGTATGTTTGTGTGTATATATATATATATATATACATATTTCTGCAAGAGAAATCTGTTGTTAGGGACTACAATAAGCTTGATGGACTATAATTGTTCATTTGTCAAGTGTAAGAGGGAGTGATAATTTTTGCTATGAAAATAACACATATACTTGTCTTTACAGACGATCATCTATTACAAACAAAATATTGGTGTTCAGATTCAATGCTCTTTGCAAAACATCTGATTACATAGATAATTATGTTTGGTTGTAAAAAAAAACATGGGTTTACTTCATGCACACAAATCATTGATTCTTGATTAGTTTTTGGCTTTGAAGGATACACTGAAATGTCATGTAATCCAGATACAAGAGTATGTAGATTGTGCCCAAAGTAACAATATGTGTGTTCTCATTATATATATATATATATATATATATGTATATGTAGTCAATAAATATAGACACAAATGTTTAAATTACTGTTATTTCAAGTAGTTAATTACTATATGTATATATATATATATATATATATGCACCCACAACTTAACATGTATCATCATTTTTCAATTTTATAACTTCAGAGTAATAATAAAAACTAATATGAAAATTGAAATTGTTCATTTTGCACAGCTAGGATAACTTTTGCATAATCTTTGCAGATGATTCATTCATTCATTCCTACTTACTCTCAGATGAACCTGCTTCAGATTCAATAACTTAAAGCTTGAGAAGGATTCAATGGCAACAATATATACAGATGCTTTTGGATCGGAGGTTGGATTATTATAGTTAAATTCGTGTTATACAATTTGTGACTGTTTTCATAGTGATCATGTACCTGCTACCAACAGTATGGTTTCCTAACATCTTGCAGTTATTAAGCAACATACAATGCATGCACTTCATACAAGAAATAGCATAAAAGCATTACATCAATCAACGTAATTTATTATTTAGTGGGGATTAGTAATTTTCATAAAATTACCAAAAATAAAAAACTTTATTGAAATTTTCTGTAGTAAAATTCGTCGAACTAATTCTATAATTCTAAATATTGAGATAAATACTACTAGAAGTTTGAGGTTTTGAGAAACCAGTCTTTCCTTAAAATACTTCTTTTAATCCTTCACAGATTTTTTTTCATATCCTAATATAGTAACGTAAAATTTACAACAAGCTGATTTCTTCGACTTTCTGTCAACTAACACTTTTAAGTGGTTTTTTACCCTTGAAAAACTTTGATGTTATCAATAAATCACTAAATAAAAAGTAAGCATGTCAACATCAAAAGATCTACAGATATAAGAAAATACTTCAGATGTCTTATTTCATTTGACATAAAAAGAAGACTACATATATATATATATATATATATATATACACACATGCTTAATGTTAGATTTCATATTCTAAGTTCTTTGAAAGTAGGACCATTTGCAAAAGCTCATATGTTTGCATTATCATTTGAAAACAATGTTACACTAAAATTAAATTTGAAAACCATTTCTTATATATCTGCATGCACAAGCATATAAATATATAAATATATATATATATATATATATATATTGGTTGGTAAGTTTTTCTTTTTCTTTATTAAACCAAAAATATGACAAAACATAAGTTGTGGTTCAATTTGATTATGTGCAAATATGCAGTAAAATTACATTATACAACTAATGGAAACATGCACTATTGAGCATGACAATATCCTTGATAAAGAATAAATAATCTCTTTCATGCAAACTTTGTATAAATTCTTGTTGCCACTCTCCTACGTCAAAAACAACTCTTGAAATTTTAGTTAATACTCTCCCCACGTTACAAACAAGAGACACTATGACAATAGATTTTCCAAGCCAACTCTTACAGGTAAAATGTTAATTGAGGCCAACTGTGCCAAACAATAGTAGATCACATTCCTTGAGCATTTCACAAATGGATGTGTAAGCATAGCCATGCTAACCGATGATATGGCAAAGCTCTCCTATTTGAGGAAACATTATTTTGGCTTATTTGCAAAAAAAACAAAAACAAAAACAAAAAAAACAAAACAATACAAAACAAACAAACAAAAACAAAATTTGAGGTTGGAGAATACCAACTACATGTTCCACATGAAAATTTCAACTTTTTTTTTTTGTTAATTTTCCAAAAAGCAGAAGATAAGTAAATAGCTCTGAGCTTTGCATCAGTTGTTTAACCCCACAGATGGAACGTGGGTCCTACGCTGTGGAATCCTAACTTCCGCAAGTGCTTCATGTTTTCCCAGAACTTCTACAATTTAAAAAAAAATGCATAAATAACAAAATAAAAGTTATTATGCATTCAGTTGAGATTCTTAAAGAATGGGTTTAACTCCGTCACAGCTTCAATTGGGCTCTAGCTTCAAGCTGACGTGTGGTTTCTCCCTGTTAAGCAGGGGGCCCCACATGGCACTTGGTGCGACTATTTATAGTCAATAATTTTGCTTATCTATTGTTCGGAGGAGTTCCGGCAAATTTGTTGGAGGTCTCCAGGGAACGAAGCAGCCACTGTAACAAACCAGCATCGGTGGGGACTTGCTGAAATCCAGCACCCGACCGATGAGCAAGGAAGCATGCCCCAAAAGGTGAATTCGTCTTCTAATGGGTAAGCTTCACTGCTGAGACATTCTAAAAAAGAGCGGATGAGTGGCCAACTACAACTGTAGGCTTTTTGTTGGATATCAGGCAATCAAACAATCAATCACAGGGACACCAAACTTCCATGAATGTGTAGAATACTGTGAATGTATGCATGCTGGTCTGATCCACTAGCAGAGCATGTACACGCAGTCTTCTTGCCAGGAGGCTAGTACACCTGATCCTAATGGTAGAAGTAATGCAATGGAAGCAGCAACAAAGGGAGCGTTTGTCAAAACCCCCCCCCCCCTTTGGCCTGCACTTTCGTCGCCAGGAATCAATTTTTCTGAGAAAACTGGTGGCTACTGTCAACGTGTTGTAGGGGGGAAAAAATCACATCCAAGTCGCACTTCTGTCGCCCTCGACGTATTTCGGCTCCTCCCTGACAGAGGCGACATTTACATGAGAAGTAGAGGGCTGCCGTGTAGTATACCTCGAAGAGTTTCGCAAGTGATTGGCAATGGTTGAAATTTCTGACATGAGATTGTCAGTCATGTGGCAGGCATGGCAGGAACGATGATGAACAGTGCAAGGCCCCAGAAAGCTCAACAAGTCGAGAGCCATGACAAGCTTGTGCATCAGTGAGCGTCCCTCAGAGATGAATGTACTAAGTCAAAAAAACAAAAAAGAAGTCCTAATCCAAGGTAACCAATGTTAAAAAGGCATTTCTTTCAAGTTTCACGCAACCACGGCGACGTAGTAAGAGAACAAAAGCCATGCAAACAAACACGGATGCTGAAAACACGGGGACCAAGATCAGGGAAAGACAACATGATGTTCAACTTTAGAGTTGTAAATTACATGATCCTGGGTTACTCTATGCCAAGCTAGGCCCCAGCAGCACAACCTCGAAGGATTTCTACCATTTGTTCTCCTACTTTGCTGCGCCTGCTGTCGCACATGCATGCGAAATCAGGTGAGAGCGAAGCATTCACTAAACTGCTCTACCATCATGTTGTCTCTCTAACCTACTCCTCAAATGGGAAACGCCGCCAACTTGCTGGTACACACTCCCAGGTAGGAAGGTGCAGTTCTACAAGCTACCCACTTCAGAGCTACCAAAACTTTCCTACCTTAACTTCCACACCCCAGCGAAGGTGCTAGAGCCAAGAATAGTTCAACCTAGAATATAACACCAACCCCCCCGTCCCTCCCCACTCCCACCCCTTCCTCCTTTTTTACCCGGAACCCCATTTTCTACACAGTGCATAGGCTTTTGAACCTCCATATACAATAAAAAAAAAAGTCGACCATTATAAAACGCCCACTTGACCAACCCAGTCCCTTGCGCTGCTTCGAAAGGAAAGTTTCATCGCCTTGAGGAAAGTTTCATTACTCATGCGATGAAGCCTAAAACCAGTCGCCAAGAATAGCTCCTGAAGAAGGCCTATCGTTGTTTCACTATTCGCAGAGCTCTTCCATTCCAACGCTTCCGTGTCGGTAGCATGAATTTAACAACATATTAAACACATGCACCCAGACTGCGGTCTGCCTGTACAAGCACTCCTAAAAGAAATGACCCCGAAGTGCTCAGAAACTCCCCTGCGTGAGGCTTTAATCAGACTTCGCTCTTAACTTCCCACTTGCACTTTGTGCTGGGAGAGAAAATTCTCGAAATCAGGCGTGTTGAAGAAGCTAGTGGGTTGAACACGGCGACGGCGAGCCATGGCACGAGGTTTCCTTGGAGCCGGAGGGCAGAAGGAAATATCCACTTCGGGTATTCTGTGCTCCTTCGATTTGGGCGTCTCACAACCGGACTCCTTTGAGAAAGCTTCATCTTCTCCAGTGATGGATACGTCCAATGTCAAACTCTTGGTATGAGACAATTCCTTTTGCGTGGTGCAAGAACTTTCAGATGATGAGCTGCTAGCCGTGCGCACCGGTCGCAGGATAGGTAAGCACACCCAACTGTCAAGCGAAAGACGCCTTCTCCCAGATCCCACCTCCATGGGCAGCTTTTGAGGTTGATTTTTCAGCACTTGACAGCAACCTGATGTTGTGGGTGACATAGCTGAAAAATGACCAACTCTGCTATTTGAAACTCCGCACAAAGTGTAGAAACACCCGCACCAACACTCCCTTCACCCGTACTTGAGCCAACAATTCCGGTGAATCACACAATGCATGCCCTCTTCCAAAAGACCAGTCACTGCCTCTAATTCCTTCACCACTACACGCTCCAACAGAAGCTTCTACAGGCAGCAATGCGAATTACACCTCCAGAGGGGAATAGAAAAAATCTCCACTTCTATGATCTATCCCCAACACTTCACGCATGCTGCACAAAGGATTGTATAACTACACAGATTCGAAGAGATAGGACACAGCTGCAAACCTACAAGCCAACACACAAACACCCCATATCCTACCGAGGAATAAAACGTCGAAACAAAACTCCACCCAAACACTCACTCGTCTTCTTCTTCTCTAATAAAGTGCTCTCCGTCTCTATATCTCCCTTGCTTCCACCACTTAATCTACAAGTGCGACACCCCCAACGACTTGTGAAACGATAAAGTCTAGCCTCTAACTACCCAGAAAATAAAAAAATAACAAAAACAAAAGGTCTCCAACTGGAACCTAGACTATGTCAACTCAACTGAACTCAACTCAACTCACAGCAAAACCAACACAAGCAACCATAACGAGACCCAAAACTCGAAGAGACTCGAAGAAACGTGAAGATGAAAGGAGGGCAACGAACATGTAGGAAAGATAGGTAGCGAAGGGGGGCTTAAGAATGCAGCCTTGTGCGATTCTCCACATGATCTTACAAGTTTCGTCATCCTCGCAGCCCAGATCCACGCGGAGAAGGGCAACGCCCAAGGGAGCCAGGGAGCGAGGGCTACGCTACAGTATAGCTAAGCTATTCAACGCTAGCGTGTGTGGGGTGGGGGAGCAGCGCGCGGACTGGTTGCCGCCGGCGCGGGTTTCAAAAGAGTTCCCTACCCTGCCCGGCCCGGCCAGGCCTGGCCGCGGGTGGGGGGGTCTATCGTGGTCTACAAGGGAATGAGACTCTCTAGGGTATAAGGCTTCTTTGGTGCCCCCCCCCCTTTTTTTTCCTTCTTCTTCTGCCCGTAAATCTCCACGGGTGTAAGAGCCGAGACACACATAAGAAAATAAAATAAAATAAAAACATAAATAAGTAAATTGAACATGGGCGCCGCCGCCGCTGCGGCACCTTCGCGCTTCGTGGGACTGGTTTCTGGACTAACTTCTACTTAATCACCGTAATTGGCGTGGAACTAACCCCCCCACCAATCTTAGCCCTTTCACACTGACAGCCTCTCTCACTCGATTCCATCACGTCCCCCTCTACGTGTGTGTGTGTGTGTTTTTGTTTATTGGTTTGTTTTGTTTTCTGCTGATGTTCACGTCTGCTCTGAGCTTCCCTCCTTTCCTTAATAGAGAGTGAGTGTGTGTCCTCGTCAGTGGGGTAGTGAGTGCTTTCCTGAAAAATTCCGTACATATTTGGCGTCACTTAACATAGCTGGGGGCTTCCGGGTTTAGCAGAGGGTGGGCGGAGGCTTGGGAGATTAGGGCAACACTGGCTGTTTGTTGTGTGAGTGGCTACAAAATAATACTGGAGGTGGATGCCATTTTGCATAGCATTGCTGCTGCTGCCGCTGATGAGGCTGCGTGGGTGGGGTGCTGCAATGGCAGGGAATCTCGCCGCAGGAGGATCTCAGTGGTCTGTCCATCTCGGCATCGGGGGCTTCCAAAAACTCACATGCACCACAAAGCCTCGCCGAATACATAAAAATGGAACCCATATATTATATATCAAATATTATATATGTTTGTATATATATATATATATATATATACGTATATGCACAGATAATGCCCTCTGGTGTGGATTTGGCTATGGAGCTTGTGTAGAGAGAGATCTCCACCCCCACCCATGTAGTACTCAACTCTCCATTCCCCTCCTGCCTTGAAAAGTCTGTGCCACAGCAGGCTTGCTAACTCCAATCCTGATAGTTGAAGAAAAAACATGGGATGGATTTTATACACATGTTTTGTATGGTGTACTTGCCTACATACATATATATAATATATTTATGTTGATGTGCCATCTCCTGCCTTGGAAAAGTTAATGCTGTGGAAGAATGATAATGCTGACTCAAACCCATGAATGGGGAAAAAAAGAAAAGAAAAGAAAAGAAAAGACAACAAATTAATTCTGTCCTGAGTGAATTTTATATGAGCTCTGTATGACACACTAGCAAAAATATGCATTGTTGAGAATGGTAATCATTCATTTTGGTTCTATTCATATCTCAGAAGTGAAATCTTGCAACACAAGTTGATACATGAAGTGAGAAAGAACAACTGAAATGTCTGTCATGAAAAAAAAATAGTAATGAATGAAGATTAAAGTTGGAATTAAATGCAAGTTGGGAATCTGGCATTAAATTAGGCAAAGACGATCAATCAAATTGTTATCTAGATATCCATTTTTCATCATAGTCTTTAAAAACAACAACAATTCAGCAAGATAAGGGATTTGTCAATTTGATCAACAAGTGACATTGCCCAACTGCAGGTTTCAAGTGGGGTGGAAAAAAGGGTGCTCCACTACATTTCTTTAAATAAATAATCATATCAAGATACATATATATATATATATATATATGTATATTCTGCATCTTGAATGTCATTTGCAATTTAGTTTAAATAATACACATGATTACCCATCTTATTAACATATAATAAAAATTTATGTAAAATAGAATTGACTAAAATTACACAAAATCGTGTGGAATTAATATCACTGTTACCAAAACAAAAAAAAATCAGATATTTTAAATTCAATGAATATTTTCCAAATTTTCACCTTCAACACTGTTTTCTATTTCTTTTTCTTTTTGGGTACAAAATTGCATCCTCAAACTTTACTAAGGGCAGTCAGAAATAAGTAAAATGAAACAATAAAATATAAAGTCAAGAAACCAAGAGAATCAGAACTGCAAAATTTGATGTAATTTAACATGTTTGGTTTTCATTTTTCATTATTTCAATCATTCTCAATGTTAGATGTTACAAAATGTATGAATTCTTGCTTACTCAAACTACAATAGGCAGAGACTTGCATTTGTCACTCAAAAAAAAGGTGATAAAAAGGAAGCAGAGACTATCCAAACATCATGTGTAGAGTAGCCCTTCATGTCCTCATTCAATATGGTTATACACATTTTTGTAAGGTCTTGTGACTGATCAGGACCTTTAGCAAAAGCTATAGTAATTAGTGTATAATGGGGGCTAAGAGCTCACATGTGAAACCCATGTGAGCACCTCATCACAAGAACAATGACATGTATTCAATGTAAAAACGAGGCCCACATGGCTATCTCATCTAAACCAAACTATTCCAAAGCAATCTTTTGAATATGCAAACATACATTCAACTTCCAAAGGAATGATTTTAGTTGGATGTGGGTGTTCTTTTTATTAAAAAATATAAAATATCAAATTTGTTTTTTGTCTTTTGTTGTTCTAGAACAATTTTGAATTTAGAAGGGTGTAAAAGTATTTTATTTTATTTTATTTTGTGATAAAGTTAATGTTTTGAGGTCACATTATTGTCCTTGTAAAACATCTCAATCACTTCAAAAATATATGCAATGATTATGTAGATTAAGATGAGTGACTGTGACTCTACTTTAAATGATCAACATGTTTTAAAGTTGATAGTGAGTTTTATTGAGTGGATGTGATGTAAAAACAACACTTTTAATTTTGCAACAACTTTGATATTAAACAATCTGTTAAAGTATATAGAGAAAATGTTTCACCTTTACAGATGTACTTGTTCCAAACTCAAGAGAAAAAATAAGCAATAACAAAAACATCAAAATATCAAAGCAAGTAATACAAATTTTTTAAACAATCAAAATAAAAATTAAATGAGAGTTATTTGCAATGCAAGTTTATTAATATTGTGAATCATAATACACCAAACTTGACCTGTGTATTGCATACTTGTTTGCATAAACCTGTTAAATCACTAGCACCTATACTTGCTTTTAAATTTTAAATTCTTTACATGAGTTGTACAGTATGAAAAAAGAAATGAGTAAAATCAAAATCAATTTTGTGATTACCAGAATTCTGTTTGAAATGTTATGTAAAAAGAAATAAAGAAATAAATAATCTAAATATACATATGTATACATACATATATACATACATACATACACATGTATGAAAATTTATTTATAAAGTGTCAATTTTGAATTAAAAAATTACTATGATGTACTTGGTAACAATCAGCATGTGAGTTTCATTTCAAATAATTATGCACTAAAATTTTTGAACCACATTAATAAACTATTTTATTATGGGTTCAAGCAAAAAACATGTTTTTAAAGAGAACCATGTATTTTACATTAATTAAACAAACATGTCAACTTCAACAAGTAATTTAACTTATGAGATGCATCACATTGTATTGCAATTTGAAACTTGTGCCAAAGTGCGCTGTTGTGCTTGTAAAAAATTGATGATGGCAGATAAGATATAAAGATAACAATGACCATGACCAGAAACTATAAGATTCCTTGATTAAATATTTTTAACAAGACATGGTCATTTTTTAAAATAATTAGACAGGTATATGAAATAGTAAAACTACAAACTAAAAATTTACAAATAAATTTAGAATTTGGTTTTATGCAAAGTAAATCATTCCATATATATATATATATATATATATATTAGAATAAAACATTCAATTATTCTGTATTATGCAACGTCTCAAAACACCGTCAGTTTTCTTTTTTTGATTCTACAATTTCAAATTTAATATCCAGGAAATTATGTGTATAGTACATACAAAATATCATCATAAATTTTCAATTATTAAGATTATTACTTTAGAAATAAAATATTAATAACTGCAAATTTACAATTTTAATTAATAATTAATAATTAATCATAATAATTACTTTTAAAATTTTCAAATAACATACTAATAATTAATATTTTATTTCTAAAGTAATATGAAGTTAAAAAAAGTTAAAAACATCATAAATATAACAAAGTCTTCATTGAATATAATTCATTTTTGGCTTATAATTAATTATTATTTTGTGTGTATATATACATCTATGCATATGATTTTATTAAAAAGTATATTTTTAAATATAAAATATGGAAATTTTCGAATAAAATATTTATTGTAAATATATCTATATTAGTATTACAAGATGCATACAAACATTTTGTAGTACCATATAAGAGTGAAAATAAAAGAAAAAGAAAATGATTAATGTTTTTCATAAGAGACTAATCCTGTACAAAATTAGTCTTGTGTATTCATATATTAAAAAAATAATAATAATTTCACAAAATGGTTGAGTAACTGAGGTAAAATTAAGTATATGTGAATTTTTATATTTTATACATTCTATGTATGTATTTTTATTTTATTGTTATGATTATTGATTGAAAACATGTTGTTTTTTTTTCATTACACATGACTAAATGCAAAAATACATGCTATTATATTTTTATAATATGTTCTAATAAATATGTTTGAATTATACATGTTGCTTTGAAATAAATTAGGTCCATTTGTATAACTAATATCACTTCAAATAGATTCATTTAAATATATTATTTTTTTCATATATATATATATATATATATATATATATATATACATACATACATATACATAGCTTTTGTCAGATTCCAAAATTTCCTTTGCTATTCTAATGATGGAATTTAAAATTCGAGATTTTTTAAATGCCAATTTTTAAAATATTTGAATGTAATATTAGATTCTTCATAATCTAAATTTATTAATATTTTATTTTAGT